TGGCCGTGTCCGAATAATTCTTTTGTCATCTGCCTCACTGTCAGTGCAGCGGTGACCGACAAGGAAGAAGCCCGATTTTGGATGCAGCACTTGCGCGGGGGCTGGGGTTAGTGGCCCTCGCTGGGGGCTGGGACGGCTCCGGGACCGGGAGCACTGCGACCTGGGCCAAGGCCGCAAAAGAGAATGCGCAGTCGGGGCGGCAATGAGAGTGGCACCTGCAGGTCCTAGAGATAATTAGTTATGGAGTGGACGTATGTGTCAGGGAACTTATGAGGCAGGGAAGGGTTAGGTAGGGGTGGTGGTGATAGTGGTCGCGTAACAGCTTACGTATAGGAGGTCCAAAAATCAGACAAGAATTTAAAAAAAGATCAAACGATGAAGAAAAATGAAAATTGACTGCATTTTTGTGAAAACGTACAGTGAAAATTAGAGCTTTTAGATACCAAAATGTAACGAAAAAGTTGCGTTAACTTTCGTTAAGTTAACGTTAACTTAACAGTTACTTTTCTGAAAAGTTAACGTTTCAACTTAACCGTTAATATTTTTTGCCAATTTAACTTTAACTGAACGATTGAACTTTTTTGGTTAACTTTCCGAACCTTGCTCTCAGCTGTGTTACGGTAACTGAATGGTCAAGGCTTCAGGTACGTAACACAAAGGTTCCGGGTTGAAATCCCAACATCATCATCAGTTTAAGTGAAAAACCGTGTGTGACCAGAGAGTTCAAACAAATATCGATTTAAGCCTAACACAAACAAAAACATATTTATTTAATTTTTTTATTCTTCTTTCTTACCCTGTAATGGGTCGCAGGGAGTGCGAGGCAAGGCAAACTGTTAAAAGGCCCAAACAGGAAGCAGATGTCTTGCTCTTTCAAGAAATGGGTCCGTATCTCTCCTCTTTAATGAACTTCTGTTAACAAGGCGAACTCTTGTTTAGTCATCCCATCCTTCATTTCCAGATGCTGCTAGATCCCAGCACTTTCCCATAATTGTCTACTCCGGGTCACGTGCACTGCACAGGTGCGAACACCTAGAGAATACAGTGAGCTTCTGAGGAGACCCCCACTTGATCCTTCCAAAGAGCAGGTTGAGGAAGTGCTGTGGAAGCTACCATGCTTCACTCAAGCTCAAGGTGGTGTACGTTGTTGAATTTAGAAAAAATATGAAGGAATCTTACTTATCAAACTGTACAGAATAACATTGCTTGTGTTTTTGTCCAGATTCAGCTTTTCAAACTAAATGTATTTATTGACAAGCACACCCTTGGGGATTTGGTTCAAGGGCCACTTGTCTTAGCTGTTAAACGTAAGTTGATTGCAAACTATCATGTGGTACACATTGTTGAGTTGTAATGATTTTACATGATCACATTTTCTAATTAACGTTCATTTAACTTATTTGCAGGGTATGTTAATAACAGGGCCTTGGCTAAACGACCAAAAGATTATACCAAGGAAATAAATGGTTTAATTGACAATGTACGGAAAACCGCTCTTATAGCAGGAAACATTGAACACCAAGAGACCCCACCCCAACAGTATTTGGCTCTTACCCCTGCGAATGGAAATGTTAATTCTTCATGGCAAAAGGCCGCGCCTGGCAATCAGAACCCTGCTCCCCAAGCTCTCCTGATCAATTCTGCAATAGGGTATTTCAATGGAGCGCTGCCCGGAACTAAGAAGAACAAAACCGGATACAGAGAGCGGTGGTGGGGGCGGGCG